AAGATTTAGTTTCTTTATCAGCCTCTCAAATCAGCTTAGATTTTATGGATCAATTTTACTATCTTTAAGATTTTTCATTTGTAATTTTGCTTTTGCCTTTGTTAAATTCCTTCTGATTTCTTTAAGTGGCCTATTTATTTTCATTTTCTATTGTTTTCTATCTAAGGCTTTTACAACCCTGAGTACTGTCATACCAAAATTGCACATGGTTTTTTTTTTTTCAGTTCTAAATAGTTTATAACTTGGATGCTAATTTCTCTTTAAATCATTAGTTATTAAAAGTGCCCCCCCAAGATGTACAGAATTTTAATGTTGATTTCTAAATTCATTGTACTATAGTTTGTGAAAATGTTCCATATGTTATCAAACTTCTTAAGTTTATTTTATTCTCCTTTCTGTCCTAGGACTAGTTAACTTCTATAAATATTCTGTTTGTATTTTAAAGAATTGCACATGTTCTGTTTCTTATCTATAATATTAAAAAAAGATTAATCACTTTTATGATTGTCATAGTATTCCATATTACTATTTTTCCCCACCTTTTCCATGACTTTCTGAGAGCTACAGGTTGTCTTTCATTTTAAACTTAGTTTGACATTTATCCTTGTGGTTTTCTCAGTATATCTATATATTTGTTTCATATGCTTTGGAAAATTTTTATGAGTTTCATAGAAATATGTTACTTTGGAAACTTCTTTATGGCTTGCTCCTTTTGTCAGTGTGAAAAGTCCTTCATCTCTTTTAATGCTCTTTTCAATATTAACATCGTGACATCTGATTTTTGCATTTAGCATTTGCTTAATGTAGCTCTTTCATCTCTTTATTCTCAGTCTTCCTATGTCATTGCATTTGAGGTCTCTTATAAATTCATTACTGGATTTTTTTTATCCAGGATAAAAGTTCTTAACTTTTAACTAGTGGATTTAAAGCATTCCCACTTATTGTGATTTCTGTAATTGGAAATTTCTGTATCATCACTTGATTTTTCTGTTTATTATATTTTCTAGTTGTCCTTTTGCTTACCTTTAATTGGACGATAAATTTTTCTTAGTTTTATTTTTCTACTCTTTTTCAAATATATTATTTGTTTCTGCTTTTTGTGGTAGCCTTAACATTATTAACATAGATGTTCAAACATGCTTTTCTAATCTAGGGTTAATCAGTATCTAAAATATCCCTGCAAATAAAATAAGACTGAGTTATTTTTGGATATAAACTGAGTTTTATATCCAAGTGGCTATATTACCAATATATATTTTATTGTTTAATAAGCATTTGCTTAGACGTAATATATTTTAATATTGATATTCATGAGACTAGCTTTTGTCTCATTCTGAACTTCTGGATTTCTTATTATTATTGGTTTATATTGTCTAGAAATTCTTTCAGAGAGAATCTTAAGGTAATAAACTTCAAAGTTCCTTACCATTCTAAAAATGTCTTTATTTCTACCTCTCCTTGAATAATAGTTTTGCTATGTGTAGAATTCACCAAAGTTATTTTCCCTTAAAATGTCAAAGAAGTCTATTGTCTTCTTGTATCCTGGGTTGCTCACAAGGAGTCTGATGTCAATTTGATTCCTATCCTTTTGTAAGTGATCTTTCTTTTGATTCTGACAGCTTTTAAGATTTTCTCTTTATTCTTAATATTCACAAATTTCATTGCAATATATCTTAGGGTGTGTGTACGTGTGTGTGTGTGTGCGTTAGCTATCTTTCAGCTAAAGAATCTTTAATGTTATTGAGAAATTTCCCCATAAGATTTCTTTAAGTGCTTTTCCCAAAATTCTGTTTTTTTTTCCCCTCTGAAAATACTTTTAAACAGATGTTGAACTTCTGTTCCATCCATATATCTTAAATCTCCTGCTTTCCATGTCTTAATCTCTGCTCCTAATGGGTAGCTTTAACCCTGGTATTCACCCTACCTTCACTGACTTTCTGTTTTTCAGGCACTCCTGGTAGCTAGCCTACCACTGTTTACATATTTTTCTTTCCAGTTATTTTATGAAACATTTTCTATTGTTCCTATGGATTTGGGATGAAGAGTGTAGGTGAACTCTATAAGTATAAAGCACCCTCAGTTTGCCAATTTAAGTACCTTTCCAAGTTTTCTAGCATTTGCCAGCAACACTCGTCATTTGTAGAGCAGGACCACACTGCGGTTTGGCGAGGAGTCGAAGAATTGCCTGAAGGGCTGGAGGGGCCAGTGAGTCTTGTGTTCGGAGCGAGGGGCTGGGCACTCCCAGCTGTGGTGGAGCTGACAGCAAGCACAGAAGGCAGTGTGGGAGCCGAGTCACCTCAATGTGCCTGGTGGTAGGAAGAGGTGAGCAGATGGCAAGATGTCAACACTTACAGAGAAGGAACGTCAGCGTTTGACTTTATAAGTGACAAAATCCCAGTACCGCAGGATCCAAAGGATGGTTGATCTCTGTGGGTTACCGAGGTGGGACTTAGGTTCTACCAGAGAAGAAATTAAAAAATCCTGAACCCCAAACTTAGAATAGCCACTTTGTGGAAACTGATGTAACAAATGTGCAAATAACAGACTTTACTTGAAGACTGCTGTTTATAAAAGTCGTACTTTAAAAGACAGCTTAGCAAATGGATCGGTAGAAAGATCAGTGTGTGTTTCATGAAGTGCAGGATCTGACTTTATACTGACCCTTCATATGATAATGAAGCAAAATGTATCTCCTTCTCTCTCCCAGCATCATAGGTTTTTGCTGCACCCTTGACTTTAGACCTCTCAGTTCACATATACACTTTCCTTAGGTTGAGACAGCTTAACTCCATACTTGGAGAACTTTCTAGTCATTTATGAATATTCACCTGACCATAGTAGAATGCAACCACCCACAGGGTCTTACTTCTCTTCTTACTGTTTATTCCTCCTACATGTTGTGGCCATATCTTTGTCCAGAGAGACATGAATTATTAAAATATGAATGTCAATAGCCCCAAATTATTTTTATTAGTCATATGTCAATTTGTATCAGAATTAAAGGAAGTCCCAAAGTAACAAACATAATACAGAGAGAGCAAATTAAAAGTCTCTGTATTGAGATCTTGAGCATTTTATTATTTCTTACAAAATTTCCATGCATCTAGCACTTAGCATTTAAATAATTCAGCATTTTACATTGTTTTAGATAACCCTGTATTGATAGTTTATAAATCAATAAACACAAGGAAACGACTGGTGAATTAGAACGTGTAACTAGTTCAGGAATTGAATGGAAAAGTTATTTTGAAGTTCAAATCTGTAAGAGACTGCAGCTTGGGAATGAGCAAAGTAATCGGCCTGCAGATGTTTAAACTTCAACTTGGAAAAAAGCCTCAGTGTCGCAAGTACAGAAGGAATCAGAGTTGGGTAAAGCTCCTACATTCTGGCTGAAACAGGAATAAAGTGATGAGGAAGAGGATGCTGGAAATCCATGACTTTCTCAGGCTTAAAATTATTAGTTTTCTAAGAATAAATTTAAGCACCAAGTATATTTAAGTACCACGTGAGATAAGGAACCCCATGCTGAAAACTGGTAACACCTTTTTTTAGTTCTACTTAAAATATGACTGGTCATAATTGGTTAAGCACTTGCTGAGTGCCTAGTATACTCCTACTCAGCGTCTGTATATTATCCCTCCTCATTAAAACATCCTGATGAGATAAACGTGATCAAGGTCTTTCTGTAGGATAAGAAGGACTGAGCATCTGGTGAATTTTGAAAGAATAAAAAATATGAATAATTTGATCTAAGATATGAAAGACATTTGACTTTAGCAGCAGATCAGAGTAGAGGGAGAAGGGCGGGGCTGTATTAATACTTTTATTTCTTTGTTATGAGTTTTTAGTGATCTTTTTTGTAGCTCTGTGTTTTCCTTTTTTCAATTTTTGGAAATAACCAAGACTGAAACTGACCAAGAAAAGTTCACAAAGACTTTCATTTTAACAAGATTTACACCAAGAAATTATACCAGTGATGAAGTAAGTAGCAGCCTTTACAAAATGAAGCTGCTCATCTTTGCAGATGAGTCATAAGTAACTAATGGTGACACATTTAATTGATTAACTTACACGAAGAAACATATATATGAAATCATGGCTATGTACTGCCCGTGACTCAATTAGTTTTTCAAAACAATTTTATTATGACGCACCTTATAATATAAGAACACAGAGCAATGTGTTAAGTAAGTGTCTTCCCAGCTGGAGCAGTGGTAGAAGCCACCTGCCAAGGCAGGAGACGCAAAGAGACGGAGGTTTGATCCCTGGGTTGGGAAGATCCCCTAGAGAAGGAAACGGCAACCCACTCCAGTATTCTTCCCTGGAAAATTTCATGGACAGAGGAGCCTGGTGGGCTACAGTCCATGGTGATGCAAAGAGTCGGGCATGATTGAGCGACTGTGCACACACACAGAATGTATTAAGTACTTTAAAATACATATGTTACTTTTGTCCTAGGCTATTAGCCAAACCTCATTTTGTACTTTGCTCTTATACTTTGAATATCACATGTGTATAAAGTAATAATCACATGTGTATAAAGCAAAGTAATGTTTTTCTTTTGAAAGACTGTGGCTATATAATCTGAACGTCAGCAGATAAAACAGCAAAGCACTATTGGTTTAAAAGGAGGGATAAACAGTGTAGCCAAAAGAATTATGCAAGATGTCTATAACTTAAACCAAAGAAAGGACCATTCCCATAATTATGATTCAAGAAAAAAAAATCAAGGAGAGTCGTGATTTTAATCTCCCTTGAGTTTAAATTTACATTCGGGCTTCTTCTCGTAAAAAATTGAACACACAAATGAAATTAGAACTTTTATTCTGTGAGATACTGTACAGCTTAAAGACTCCACAGTTTCTAATTTCTGTAAACAATTACTCTGTCACAAAGGAGAAGTAGATATTTGAAGTAAAAGCAATGAGTTGAAGATTAACAACCCTCTGAAAGACACATGATCGCCCCCATGTTGAGTTGAGTCTTTTCTGTTTCCACAGAGCATCTGTACAACCACCACAGCATTTTTGCACTTTTTCTTCCTGGCTTCATTCTGTTGGGTTTTGACTGAAGCGTGGCAATCATATATGGCTGTAACTGGAAAAATTAGAACACGGCTTATAAGGAAACGCTTTTTGTGCCTTGGATGGGGTAAGCATATTGCTCTTCCCTTTTGTGCTCTTGTTAAAATGACTTTGAACACTGCTGTAATGAATGAAGTTGGAAACTGTGATTATCCCCAGGCTACTTTTCTTTGTGTCTAATTCAGTATGTCGAAGTGGAAATGTAGGATGCTAGTCATTTTGGAACATTCTTTAAAGTTGTGGAACTTTAAAAAGCAGTGAATACTGGATGGCCATGTAGCTGGTCAGTTGGTAATCAATAGTGCCCACGTGATAGTAAATGAGACCTAAGATATCTACAGGCAAGAAATCGAAAGTATTCTCTACTACAGGTTCTGAAAATGCAAAATGTCTTAAGAAGTTCAGTGCTCAAAACATGTTTTTGTCATATACACTAACCTTGCACTGCCCACATGAAAGCTTTGAAGAATTCACTTCAAGAGAGCTATTCTCGATACAGGAGAAAGCCATCTAGACCATGAATGAAACCACATGGCTAGTCCATGGAGTTCTCAAAGGAAACAGAGAAACTGCTGATAGGCTGAGGATGAATTAATTTTTCACTAGAAAAAGTTCCTCTCACATTGCCTTATGAAATGGGAATCTGGAGGACCTATACATTCCAAAGGGCCAATTATAAAGTTTAACTGGAATTAATGAATTCATTTAGTTTAATTAGAATTAATTAATTAAAAAACTAGTTTTAGAAAAAGCTCAGGATTTTTTCATGTTTGCCTTTGAGTTTCAAAAGACTGGTACTAAAACAAAATGGGGAAATTTGGACCAAAGATATAACAAATGAATGCTAGAGGGAACCTGCAGAATCACAAATAAGTGGACTTATTACCATGTCAAAATAATCATGCTAGAAAAACACAGGACCAAGAGCACAAAGGTTATCCATCAGATTTCAGCCAGGGGCTGTTGTGTCTGCACAGGCAAGTGGTAAAACCATTAAGAAGATACTGGAGAATGCAATATTCTTACACTGTTACACTTTTAGTCTGAATTTCATGATAAAGACCATCTAAAGCTGGAATGGTATTGAATTAGGGTTTGACTAGATCCAAGAACTACAGTATATAGGGAAATGAAGACTTCCCTTGAAGTATAAAGAATAGCAATTTACAGGAACCTTAACTACCTTATTTAACATCATTACCAAAGGTGATCTTGAGGAGAAGGGTGTAGAGCTTTACAGGGTCTGCAGGTTTACAGCTAATATTAAACTATTCCGGGTAGTGAAAAAGCTAAACCAATGGTTCTAGACTGTGAGGAAGTCTGAGAGTGGGCAAAATAGTGGCATATGAGTTTCATGATGGCAAAGTGCAACGTAATAATTTAGAAAAAAAAATTAATCTAAGTTATATGGAATGAAGACTGTTTGCTTTTCAGCTTAGGACCCAGAAGAGAATTTTTTTCTGACAAACTTGGTTTAGTCAATCAAAAAAGTCAACTATATGAAAAAGGAGAAGAACAAGGAGGAAGAAAAGAAAAAAGGAGGAGGAGATATTTAACATATATGTGTGTGTGTGTGCATGCACATGTGTATATATTCACATGTATAAATATACATACACACACATATACTTTATATATTATATATATATATATGCACACACACACACACACACACACAGGCCAGTACTTGTTTAAAAAAATGTTGTGTCCCTTGGAGTTCCCATCATTTAAACCTCGTGAAGCAGTGTGGTATCATTTTTTAATTTCCAGAAGAAAACAGCCAGAATAAGGAAAAATGATAGGAGGGAAAATGATGAGTGGAGGGGACACAGGTAGATGATCAGAAGATGAACTTTTCAATCAGAAAAAACAAGCATGGGCTTCCTGAAAAAAAGGCATGGTCTTCTAGAACTTAAAAAAAAAAAATTAAACAGCTTAGGTCAGACTGAATCCCACTCACCAAACACAGGGAGTTTCTGTTGAACTTGAGCAAGGTAAGCATGATTCATAGAAACATAAAGGAAAAGAAGTCAGGTCAGAGTTGCTGCAGGGATGCTGGCACTTGAATGCCAAGAGGGACTAAGGCCCAGAGTGTTACCTACCTAGAGGTTCGTGAAGAAAAATTGGCATAAATCTCTGACCTTCATTCAGGATTGTGCCTCAGGACCCTTAACCTTGTTCCTACATTCTTGTTAGTATAAGTAAATCATAAAGAGTTAAATGATGAGATATATTTTTTCTGTCTTATTAAAATAAGTACGCTTGATGTGGATCAACATGAGGTCAACTGTACATTCCACTTCTGTGATATTCCATCACCCCAGAACATCCATTTTTTTGCCTTTCTGATTTTATAGCTAGAAAATTCCTTTATAGGAATGTAAACCCCTAGGGAAAAAATAACTTAAAAAGATATATTAAATCTCTGTTATGAGTTTCTTTTAAACTCATGTCAAATGCAGTGGTAACCTAGCAACATCAGAAAAATGCACTGACTTAAAAACCCAGCTATCATGCTCATATCTTTGTACTTGGAAGAAATCTTATAATACTTTATGAAGGAACGTGTCCACAGGAGGTCCCTCCAGTTTCGGTGTCCGGGTCTGCCCTGGCTTGCCGGAGCCCGGGTGCACGGTGGCGGTGGCGAATGTGACGTGTGACAATGCTTTCCTTGCAGGTTTGCCGGCGTTAGTGGTGGCCACGTCCGTAGGCTTCACCAGGACAAAAGGATATGGCACTGATCACTAGTAAGTCTGTCCACAGTGATAAATCTTATTTATAATTAAGTAAATAGTCAAATATGCTGCGTTAGTCTTGGCTGGCACTGCTGGTGGCTTGTACTTTCTCACTGAGTCATGAACAGTGGTTGAAGTCACTTTATGAGGAATGATGTAAGGTGCCTTAAATGCACACAAAAGTTCAGCATTAAATGCTGCAGGGCTGTTCCGAATTCTTTCAAGTTCCCATTTCTTTGTAACACCAGAGTCTTAATTTCTTTCTTTCTTTGAAGTTAACTTTTGTTGTAATATAGTTGATTTACAATGTTATGTTAGTTTCTGCTGTACCGCTAGTGAATCAGTTTTATATATATATACATTTCCACTCTTTTTTTAGATTGTATTCCCATATAGGTCATTCCAGTATTAATGATTAAGTAGAATCATAATTTGTAAAATATTTCTACATTTATTTTGCATGTTCCATCTCAGATGCATTTTTAAAGACCTGGATAAATCTTGACACGTTTACATTTTAAAATAGGACTCTGATCTGAGCTTCAGATTTCACAGATGATAATATATACTGGCAGCAGCCATGTTTTGTCACGATACTTCAAGTTTTGTTACTGTATTAGGGAGATATGTATTCAAACTCAAAGGCCAGGGGATCAGTAGACCACATTATAGAATGCCCGGGCTACGGAAGAAATTAGAAGGGAGTAAAGGGGGATGTGGTACCAGCCTACCCTAATCAGACCTGTAATACTGAGAACATTCTGTGGGAGAATTTGTCAAGTCTATATTTAATATTTCAAATATAAAGCAGTGCACTCTCATATTTTACTTCTTCTGCTCTTTAAAGTAGAGTAGACAGTTGAGAAATGGGGAAGAGGATGGCATCTTGTTAGAAACGTAAGTCTTAAAAGGAGATGTCCTATTTAATTGTCCTCAGGTTTGAGATAGGAATTGGGGCTAATTAGGCCCTTGGTGGGTTCATCTAAGTGGAAAGTGTGCCAAGAGACACCACTGAACCTGCCATCCAAAGGAAACTTCCGAAGAATTGCAAGAACTCATATCATCAGATCACTTGTTTTTCTCATACAATCTACAGCGTGGAACCGATAGTGTATGATGCAGAGCTGTCTTCCTATAGCACCGTTACCTTTCATCTATTATTTTTCAAAATAGCATGACTCTTTTTGAAAGCCACTGTGGTAGGGATATGGAAAGAAGTAGGATTATAGATGGCATGGTTCCAGCTCTCAAGGAGTTTATGATTGAAAATGAATGCAGTGCAAGCAGGAGAGTATCACTTTGAAGATGAATTTACACAAAACTTCGGGAGAAGTTTAGTGGCAGTCTTGGAGACCCCAAACTGAAGTGTTCTATCATACCTAAGGGCTTTTCCTCCGGGTATTTTGTTTTAAAAATAGATATTAAATTGTTGATCTCAAAGTGGGAAAGTAGAATTTTATCAATTTTCTGTTATGACCAAGGAGCAATAACTAGATGCAGACTTTGAAAACACACACACACTGATTTACATAGTAACATCCACTATTAAGTGTATATAATCCTGTGAGTTAACCAATGCATGAGTCATGTACCCACCACCACAACCAATAAAAAGTTCTTAGAGGAGGAGAGAACAGTATTGCTAAGTGTTATTTTTAATAAGTTTATTTATTTATTTTGGCCGTGCTGGGTCTTTGCTGCACGGGCCTTTCTCTGGTGGCGGTGAGCAGGGGCTCATCTCGAGCTGTGCTGTTTCTCACTGGGGTGGCTTTTCTTGTTTCGTAACGTGGCCTCCAGGGACCGAGGGCTTCAGTGGTTTCAGAATGTGGGGTCAATGGTTGCAGCTCCCGGGCTCTTGAGGACAGGCGTAATAGCTGTGGCACACAGGCGTAGGCACTGTGGCATGTGGAATCTTCCTGAGTCAGGGGTCGAACCTGCGTCTCCTGCATTGGCAGGTGGACTCTTTACCACTGAGCCATTAAGGAAGCCCCAGGTATTGTTAATGGTTGATTGTTGTTCATTTTGGAGGCAGCATGCTGATTCAGGGGACTGAGAAGAGGTCAAGGAGAGGTGCATGAAATGGTAGGCATGACTGTATCCGGAAGACCTCTTGACAGTCCTTTGCTGTGACAGAATGAGCATTTTTACCTAAATGGTTACTGTCTTTGTCCGTGAAAACCTGCAGCTCTTGGGGAATCTACTAATTGAAACAAACACAGCTACACTTATTTTTATTCAAAAGCTTATCTTTAGTGATTTTTTTTTAGCAGTCTGGGAAAAAGTAAAATTGGGAGAAAGAAAAAAGCATGCAAAATGTAGATTATCTGTTCCCTGCAATGATGGCTTTTAAACCAGTATCTTCCACTATCTCAATGGCCTCAAGGAAGAACAGGTAAATGGCACGTATAAGACTCTAAAAATACACTGTTCCTGCTTCAGAGTATACTTGAAAAATTCCGTAATGGATATAAAGCAGCATTTTGCATAACTTAAGAGTTACCTTTGTACTGAAAGTCACTGTAAAAATCTCACTGCAACAGTAATTTGTGTAAAATTTTTTAACTGCCTGACAGTAAGGCCTCATAATCAAAGTTTCTTTTCTGTGAGAGGTATATGGTATTTGTTACTCATGAAATGTGCTAATTTTAGCTTTATTCCATATCTTCCATGTTTTTAAAAAAACTATGAACCTTTGAAATATTCCAGAATTCCAAAAGTAAGCACATAGTCCAAACTGTGTCACACGTTAGTGATCTAATATGTGTCACTAATTGATGCTAGTTTTTATCTGATGTTCTTTCCAGCTGCTGGCTCTCTCTTGAAGGAGGTCTGCTCTACGCCTTTGTGGGACCTGCAGCTGCTGTTGTCCTGGTAAACACCAAAATCAGCTTAACTGTTTTTCTTAACAAAGAAAGTCTACTTTGCTTCCATTAAAGTGACACTTTCGTATTGATTGTGCGGAAATTTTAAAGTTTGATGAATCGTTACTTAACTTTTAATGTTGATTCTATCCAGTGCCTTATTATGCTAAAATATTCTTATGTTGAAGCCTGAAGAATATTAAGCATGGGAGTATGGGATTTCTCTTTCAGGAATTTCACATTTGTGAAGAAGTTTGAGTAAGTTTCGGTAAATTCTTCCTTGTTAGCGTATAGAATTTCCTCATTTATTATTATTTCACCTTTATATTTTCATAATATGATCTACATAATTATTGAGATCTCTTAATAATAACTGGGGCTGACACCAAATATCAACAAGAAAGTATATGTTCCTGTGTCAAAATTTCTCCTCCTCACTGCTGCAGATGTTTGTTTTTTTTTTCCATTTATTTTTTGCTGCAATGTTTTGAACTGGACATTTCTTTGTTGTGGGGCTGCCCTGTGTATTTATCAGTACCACTGGCATCTACCTGCTAAATAACAATGATACCCTTAAAGTTGTAATAATCAGAAAATGTCTCCAGAGATTTTGCAGTGTTCACTGAAGGTACAAATCACCCCCCTCTAGTTGAGAACCCCTACCATATTTATGCATGAAGTTTTACAAATTTTTCTTTTTTGAATCACAAAATAATTCCTTTGCATGTTTACTTATAGGAATGTGAAAATTTTCCACTAACTTGCCTTTCCTCTGTGTCTCTGAATTTATTGATTACAAATCTTTCTTATCTAATAAGTTGTTGTCAGAGAAAAAGGAAACAATCTGAATTAAATGCAAGGATGCATTTCTCTGTACAATCAGATTTCTAATTGAAAAGCTACCTTTTCGATTATTGAACAAATCATTCAATAAGTTGGAAGCTGGAGATATTTTTTAATAGCTCTTTGTGGTTTTTCTTTCTTTAAAGTTTTTCTTCCTCCTCTGAATTATAAAAGGGAGCAGAAACTGTTGGTGATTTACAAGAAAATCTAGGCATGAGTGTTAGAAGAGCATAGGAAAACTAAAACTATCAGGCACAGTTCTATCCACTGCATTGAATTTTTATTTAATCAACTGAATTATTTCCCTAGGCTTCTAGATTAATATACACATAACCCTAAAGTGAAGAAACAATGAGTATGTGTGTAACTGAAAGACAAAAGTTCTTTGGAGTGGTGATGAATTCTCTCATGTTTAAATTGTAGATTAATAGAATCCACAGAATACAGTTTTTTTAGTTCAAATAATAGATATACGAATATGAGTCAGCCTTTCTCTTGATCAAATGGTATCTTGTTTGGAAGCTTTGAAGTTGTTAGGAAGACACTTTCTAAGTCTTTACCTAACAGTTTCTTTGGATCTTCTTTATACCAGTAATTAAGCAGATTCTATCTGTATATTCCATCTGCTCAAAGTATATTGGAGAAATAGAAGTTACTTTTTTATCAACTAGTATCCTGCTTCATTTAAAACAGATTTTTCACAAGCCACTAGTTGCAACGTACAGGCTTCACTATTTGCAGTGGGTGTCGCACCAAGATTCTTTTGACCGTGGAGGGTAAGGGGCAGGGAGGCAAAAAGGAGAAAATATTTTTCCTTGATTATCTTGGTTTCAGCATTGTACTGGATTCCTTTATCAGGAAGTGCTGGCAGGTTAGAGAACCCAGCGCACTTATAATAAAGCTGCTACAACTAGACCACAGCTCTCTCTACAGCTATTTACAATTTGACTTGAGGAAGATGAATATGTGTCATTTCATCTCAGCTGTGTTATGCAAGAGACCTTTTAAATGGGTAGAAGAGTCTTAGAGATGCTGAAACTGGTTCAACAGAGCACATTATAAAAATTAGTGTGAGTGTCCATCTGAAAGGATGCTGGTGAATTGAATAGGCTTTACCCTTTGTCTAGAAAAGCAAGGTGCATTAAATGCCCCCAGTCTCCTGGGAGAAAACAGTTGCACAGCACGAAGAACTGAGGCGTTCTGCTCTCCCAGTTCTGGGCAGTGACAAACCTTAGCACCTTTGCCTGGCAGGACTCACCCTGGCTGCACATTGCAAGACATGATCTTCTGATACCCAGACATAGTGTAAAACTCATTAGTCCATTTGTCTTATTCACGGATGATTCAGAGAGAAGAATGCTAGATTGGCATAATATGGCAATTTAAAAGTTAGGCCGTTCAATATTAATTTCCTCAGCGTTAACTGCAAAGCATGGACATTAAGTGGGCTGAATGTACTTTAAAACATTAAAGTAACCCACCTAGCCAGCTCACGAGAATCCTTTAAGAGATGGACTCTAACACTACTGTTAAATTGCCCTATTTTCCTGTATGCACTTATGAAATATTTGAGAAGGGCTTCCTGTCACTACCGTTATGAGTACATAATTCTGCCAAGGTTGTGAATGGATAAAAGTGGGTTCTTGGGAAAAATCAGGGACCTGATTCCCTTCAACCTTTGTTTCTGTCTGACAGGTCAACATGGTGATTGGCATTTTGGTATTTAATAAACTTGTTTCAAGAGATGGGATCCTAGATAAAAAGCTCAAACACAGAGCCGGGTAAGCTGCAATTGGTGGATTTTGAAGGGTCTTTACAGCGCGTCCCACTCACCAGTCTCAGATCACCGACTGCCTTTGACTGGGCCTTGGATTTTGTTCTTGAGAAACCGGTGTGTATGGTAGACTACGCAATTCGAGCTTCCAATGGGCTGTTCTTAAGAGGTGTCAGCAAAGTCTGAAAATAATTAAAAAGTCCATTAAGAAAATCTGGATTTGTTTGTGTGTATTGCCTGTTTGTATGATAAGAAAATTAAATATTAAGGCTAGACTTAAAATAATTATTCTTGGGTGAGAGTCTCAAAGACCTCCTAGTTTTAGTCACAAAGGAGTGGAGGATAAATTGAACCTAACTTCAGTATGGGACACGACAGAATAAGGACACACAAACCTTAGTAGGGCAAAAATACTGCATTTCATTTGTTCATTGTATATATCAGAAAAATTCTTCACTCGAAATAATCAGGAAACACTAGTTTTATCATACATTCATTTTTATGACATTTTCACTATGCCTTGCTAGAAAGTTACTCATAATTTTCACTTGCACATTTTAACCACTTATAAAATTTTGCAAAGTATCTCCTTTAATTTTACTATTATTATAATATCACCATATCTAATGACTTAATAACATTTCATAAGCAGGTTGATAGCAGCTTTTTAAAGTTATATCATTAACTCATAAATTTGTAAAACCTTGAATGAAATAGTAATGTCTTTGAATTTCCCTTTGTATCTTTTCTTATAAAAAGTTTATAGCTTTCTCCTTTCTGTTTAACTGTACCCCCATTCAAAGCTTACCCCAGATGTTCTCATTTCTTTAAATAATCTATGGTATCCTTAATAGTCATAGTATTTTATCACTGGCTGGTGTGAATTTTAAGCTGTTCATGTGTTTAAAATCTACGTAATAATTTAAGAGACAAGATGGTCTGAGCATTTTTCCCCTATTAAAAGATTAGGTTTAATGGCTTTTAGTATGAAGTTGGATATCATTCAAATCCAACATTAGAACTGCAATGATGTAATAAACACATAATTGGTGGCTCCTTTCTGAGAGGGAATCACTTCCCATCTGGAAGCCTCTTTCATTTCAGATAAGTCTCTAAAGCAACTTTAAACAGGCAGACTGGAACTTTCACAGACACTGAGCTTCCTATGCCATTTAAACTTGAAACTTTCACACTATTAATCGATAGTCTGATGTATGGTTAAAACTGGAGCACAGCTACTTCAGTTGTTTCTGCCTAGGTTAATCATGTTAGAATAAATTGTTCATACTGAGTACTGGATATAGAAACTCATTTCTGCCACTAGCAGTGTAAAGTTGTATAATTACTTGCTTAAATTGAGGGTGGAGTGGGTTAGTGGTTAAGATAAAGCTTTGAAGTAAAAGAGAAAATCATGCTTAGTATTTAGCTCTGCAGTTTCTTAGCTCTGTGTATCTTTGGGCATGGTATTTCATCTTTCTGCAGCTCAGTCTTCTTACCTATAAAATGGGGGTAGTAACTCTTGCCTCATGATAGAGTATATGAAAAAAAATGTGTATAAAGCATTCACTATAGTATCTAGCAAATAGCAAGCAAGCACTCACTTAGCACTGATGACTCTTGTTATGATGGGTAAGTTGAAGAAGCCAAAGCTGGACAGCTTGTTTGCCAGGGACCCTGAACTTCTATCAAGCAAGCATCCATGATTCCACCATTCATGGCACTGAGGCCGGAAAAAGAGATGAGATTATCAGAATAAGCATAATGCTAAGGATTTATTAAATTCAGTCAGTATTTTTTTCTCATTTGATTGTTTTGTATGTAATACGCAGTTTGATTCATGTAATTCTTTGTAAGAGAGTATGTAGGTTTAGGAGAAATGACATCCTTATGAGCATAGAAATGACAATATCATTATGAATAATTTATTCAATTTACATATTAATTTTAAATTAATTTCAATCTGCACATTAATTTTAAAATCCCTATTTCTAAAAATGTCACAGAAGATACATCTGTTTTACTGGGAAAACTGAGTCAAACACTTTTTTTTCCTGGTTCAAAGGCCACTACTGGAGAAATAGAAATAAAGTTAATACAAGCTAAAAGAGCAGAATATTGGTTACTGTCCAAAGAAGAAAAGGACTATTAATAAATTAATTACTCTAGGCTTAAATTTCTTTATAATAGAAAATGCTATTTTAGCTTAAAGATTGAAATTTGCTTTCTATTCCGATGTGTGATTGAATGAATTTTTCCGATCTGAACATTTGCAGCTAATTTTTAGTTCCCAGAGAAGCAGTGAGGCCAATAATACAGATTTCAGAGAAGAACAAATAATCAGAATTATCTAAAGAAGCATTGGGCAAGAAGCTAATTGATTAACTTAATTGACTCCCTAATTGTAAATATAGACCATTTCAGGTTATTTGAATATATATATATATATATATATATATACTCATATATATATATACACACACACACACACATAAGTACATATATACATATGCATATATATATATATATATATATATATATATATATATATATACACCAAGTGTTTCTTTTGAGACATTATAATTTGGAATCAAATATAGTACCAACATGTTCTATTGTATCAACATATTTCTCCTCCCATTTTACCTACTTCTTTATTTCCTTTCTTCTTTTCATCATCAATTATTAGAAACTGCCAAGCATACAGTTTATGCTCAGTAAAGATCGATAGAAGAATGGGTGCATGCATACTAAAACAATAATACAATAATTTGACAAGTTTTGTAATACCCAAACTAGAGTAACTTTTTCTAATACATAAAGTATAGTTAGTTACCAAGGGGGAATTTATTGCAAATATCAACATATTTTATATAAAGTGATATTTGGAAAAGAGGGAAAATAAGATAAAATGACATGTGTCTTTTTAGAACATCTCAAATAAGATATTTCATTTTCTCCTTTTTTCCTGCAATGGAACTTTCTTATCTACTGTTATGAAGTGTATAATGTGAAGAATATTGGTATAGGCATTCTCCTGGGAGCATTGGCCACTGAAGCATTCATGAACCAAACTGGGTAGACTGTTATTATTTGGAAAAGTCTGAACACTTGTGGCTAGAACCTTTGCCCTAGGTTGAATTGGTAAAGTGAATCATATTCTTCACCCCCACATCTAACTCTGAGAGTTTTGATCTTTCTCATGGGGTCTACTGATTAATCTGCTTACTTAATAACTTTCAGATTTATCTTCTTATCAAAGTTCAATTCACCAATGAGGGCACCTCTTTAAAAGAAACCAAACATTCTGAATTATGAGCCCCTTGTCACTTTCTATGTTCTGCCATTTTTAGTTTAAACATGGTACTACAGGTCCACCACAGTATTAGTTTTTTAAACAAACGGACTGGGAAAACCTGATCAGTTCAGTTCAGTCAAACTCTTTGTGACCCCATGGACTGCAGCGCACCAGGCCTCCCTGTCCATCACCAACTCCCAGAACTTGCTCAAACTCATGTGCATCAAGTCAACCATCCAAGCATCTCATCCTCTGTCATCACCTTCTTCTCCTGCCTTCAATCTTTCCCAGCATCAGGATCTTTTCCAATGAATCAGTTCTTCCCATCAGGTGGCCAGAGTATTGAAGCTTCAGCTTCAGCATCAGTCCTTCCAATGAATATTCAGGACTGATTTCCTTTAGGATTGACTGGCTTGATCTCTTCTCAGTCCAGTTCAGTTCACTTCAGTCCGGTCACTCAGTCGTGTCTGACTCTTTCTGACCCCCTGGACTGCAGCACACCAGGCTTCCCTGTCCATCACCAACTCCCGGAGTTTACTCAAACTCATGTCCACTGAGTTGGTGATGCCATCCAACCATCTCATCCTCTGTCATCCCCTTCTCCTCCTGCCTTCAATCTTTCCCAGCAATGGGGTCTTTTCCAATGAGTCAGTTCTTCGCATGAGGTGGCCAAAGTATTGGAGTTTCAGCTTCAGCCATCAGTCCTTCCAATGAATATTCAGGACTGATTTCCTTTAGGATGGACTGGTTGGATGTCCTTGCAGTCCAAGGGACTCTCAAGAGTCTTCTCCAGCACCACAGTTCAAAAGCATCAACTCTTCTGCGCTCAGCCTTCTTCACGGTCCAACCTTCACATTCATACATGACCACTGGAAAAACCAAAACTTTGACTAGATGGACCTTTGTTGGCAAAGTAATGTCTCTGCTTTTTAATATGCTATCTAGATTGGTCATAACTTTTCTTCCAAGGAGTAAACGTCTTTAAATTTCATGGCTGCAGTCACCATCTGCAGTGATTTTGGAGCCCAAGAAAATAAAGTCTGTCACTGTTTCTGCTGTTTCCCCATCTATTTGCCATGAAGTGATGGGACCAGAATGCCATGATCTTAGTTTTCTGAATGTTGAGTTTTAAGCTAACATTTTCACTCTCTTCTATCACTTTCATCAAGAGGCTCTTTAGTTCTTCTCTTTGTGCCATAATTGTGGTATCATCTGCATATCTGAGGTTATTGATATTTCTCCTGGCAATCTTGATTCCCGCTTGTGCTTCGTTCAGTCCAGCATTTCTCATGATGTGCTCTGCATATAAGTTAAATAAGCAGGGTGACAGTATATAGCCTGACATAACCCTTCCCCAATTTGGAACCAGTCCATAGTTCCATGTCAAGTTCTAACTGTTGCTTCTTAACCTGCATACAGATTCCTCAGGAGGCATGTCAGGTGGTCTGGCATCCCCATCTCTTGAAGAATTTTCCACAGTGTGCTGTGATCCACACAGTCAAAGGCTTTGGCATAGTCAGTAAAGCAGAAGTAGATGTTCTTCTGGAACTCTCTCGCTTTTTTATGATACAACAGATGTTGGCAATTTGACCTCTGGTTCCTCTGCCTTTTCTGAATCCATCTTGAACATCTGTAAGTTCTTGGTTCACATACTATTAAAACCTTGCTGGGAGAATTTTGAGCATTACTTTGCCATCATGTGAAATGAGTACAATTGTACGGTAGTTTGAACATTCTTTGGCATTGCCTTTCTTTGGGATTGGAATGAAAACTGACCTTTTCCAGTCCTGTGGTCACTGCTGAGTTTTCCAAATTTACTGGCATATTGAATCCAGCACTTTCACAGCATTATCATTTAGGATTTGAAATAGCTCAACTGGAATTCCATCATTTCCATTATCTTTTCGTAGTGATGCTTCCTAAGGCTCACTTGACTTCACATTCCAGGATGTCTGGCCCTAGGTGAGTGATCACACCATCGTGGTTATCTGGGTCATGAAAATCTTCTGTGTATTCTTGCCACCTCTTCGTAATATCTTCTGCTTCTGTTAGGTCCATACCATTTCTATCCTTTATTCTGCCCATCTTTGCATGAAATGATCCCTTGGTATCTCTGATTTTCTTGAAGAAATCTCTCGTCTTTCCCATTCTGTTGTTTTCCTGTACTTCTTTGCATTGATCGCTTAGAAAGGCTTTCTTATCTCTCCTTGCTATTCTTTGGAACTCTGTGTCCAAATGGGAATATCTTTCCTTTTTCTCCTTTGCCTTTCGCTTCTCTTCTTTTCTCAGCTATTTGTAAGGCCTCCTCAGACAACCATTTTGCCTTTTTGCATTTCTTTTTCTTGGGGATGGTCTAGATCACTGCCTCCTGTCCAATGTCTTGAACCTTTGTCCACAGTTCTTCATGCACTCTGTCTATCAGATCTAATCCCTTGATTCTATTTGTCACTTCCACTGTATAATCGTAAGGGATTTGATTTAAGCTGTACCTGAATGACCTAGTGGTTTTCCCTACTTTGTTCAATTCAAGTCTGAATTGGGCAATAAGGAGTTCATGATCTGAGCTACAGTCAGCTCCTGGTCTTGTTTTTGCTGACCGTATGGAGCTTCTCATTTTCAGCTGCAGAAAATATAATCAGTCTGATTTCGGTATTGACCATCCAGTGATGTCCATGTGTAGAGTCTTCTCTTGTGTTGTTGGAAGAGGGTATTTGCTCTGACCAGTGCGTTCTCTTAAGAAAACTCTCTTAGCCTTTGCCCTGCTTCATTCTGTACTCCAAGGCGAATTTTGCCTGTTACTCCAGGAATCCCTTGACTTCCTACTTTTGTATTCCAGTCCCCTATGATGAAAAGGACATCTTCTTTTGCTGTTAGGTCTAGAAGGTCTTGTAGGTCTTCATAGGACCGTTCAACTTCAGCTTCTTCTGCGTTACTGGTCGGGGCATAGACTTGGATTACTGTGATATTGAATGGTTTGCCTTGGAAATGAACAAAGATCATTCTGTCATTTTTGAGATTGCACCCAAGTACAGAATTTCGGACTCTTTTGTTGACTGTGAGAGCCACTCCATTTCTTCTAAGGGATTCTTGCCCACAGTAATAGATATAAAGGTCATCTGAATTAAATGCACCCAATCCAATACATTTTAGTTCACTGATTTCTAAAATGTCGAAATACAGGGAAAGTCTGTGTATTACACAAAAACATCACATGGTAATGAATGAGAGAACACAGAAGATTATCTCAAGGTGTTTTTGAAATTTGATTCAAATAATTTCTTTTTGTTTCCTCCTAAGAGGGTAAGGTTCTGTTAAACCATTCATTTACAAAATACTCTTTTCTAAAGAAAAATATGTCAAGTTTTTCTACATAGTGTGACTTTGCTTCTATGAGATAGTAGATTGAATCTGAACTTACCTGCAGAATCCTATAGAGTTGAATATACCATTTAAAAACTATTAGGTTTGAGTCTGTGACAAAATGTTCAGAAAGAACATTTTGAACTTAGTTACTGTATTAAATGTGTCTTATGAAAGCTAAACTACCACTCTATTTATTATCAACTAATACTTCATCAAATTCATCAACCTTTATATTCAGATCATCCTAAAATATAGGCAATACATTGATGCTAAATGAAATGTCAAAATGTAAATATGTTGGGTTAAAGGCTACATCTTCCTCATAGGACTAAAAGCTTATAATATATATCTCCTTATGTTGGACTTCTGAGATACCTCTGTGTATTTCACAATGTTTTAATTCTGTAAATGTTCCTCCTGTAAATGACATTGAAAATCTTTGAAACTAAGCATCCTTACCTGTTTGATTATCAAGGGTCTGAATAGAGGGTTTTCACTGTATGTCCACACAAATACGTGCTTATGTTTAACTCAGTGTATTGAGCAACTTTGACCTGTAGATACAAGGGCCATTTATGGTATAAATGATCAAAATATGCTTTGCATGTAACAAAGGCCCATATTATTAAGAGGTAAATGTTACAAAAATAATGTGTAGTGTAAATGCATCTTTAAATACTACCAAGAGAATTCTTCTTTGATAAATATGCTTTTCATATGCATGAAATCATATTTAAAAGCTAACTTATAGCAGCAACCTTTTTTTGGTGACAATTCAATATTTTGTTCTTTTTGTGGGTGTTCTGTTTGTTTGCAGTCAGATGAGTGAGCCTCATAGCGGTTTGACGCTCAAATGTGCCAAGTGTGGAGTAGTTTCAACAACAGCTTTATCAGCCACCACCGCCAGTAATGCCATGTTAGTCCCAATCATTTACATCTTCTCGTTAAAAATCTTTTACCGTGCATGTGAGAAAATGCTATGATGGAAAATAAATCATATTCGCTAATATTAGAACTAAGAACATACTTAAATGTTTGTAATTTGCAACTGCTTTTATAACTATTGTGGGATTGCTTATCAAAAAATAAGTAAAACTGTGGAATCTTATCTGCTTTGTGGCTTCCAAGTTAATATCTTGGTGCCACATACAAGAATGCTTTGTTGAACGGGGATTAGGTTATGGCCTGAGGCGTACGTGCAGCTCCATAATGCGGCTCCTTCTCTTCCACCAGGGCGTCTCTCTGGAGCTCCTGTGTGGTGTTGCCCCTTCTGGCTCTGACGTGGATGTCTGCAGTTCTGGCCATGACAGACAAGCGCTCCATCCTGTTTCAAATACTTTTTGCCGTGTTTGATTCATTACAAGGCTTTGTGATAGTCATGGTCCACTGCATTCTTCGAAGAGAGGTGAGAAAGATCATTCTTGCAAGAATGAGGAATGATACTCAGAAGAGTATTTTCCATGTTAATAAATAGGATATTTTCTTTTAATACCCTGGTCTTGAGATTAAAGCTGGTCTCCTCTAAAGACAGTTGTTTGAGAGTCAATGCTAAAGGCAAAAGTTAAGGCAAAGAGGGCTCCTTGGACTCTGAAAGTGACAGATTAAAACAAATGCCACAAAGCAAGGGGAAACACCAGCAGAGGTGCCGAGAGAGGCTATGATGCAATCACAGGTGTAGATAAGAGGGTGGGCAGCCTATCTGTAGAAGATAATATGATGCTGTTTCTTAAAGCTGTTCCCTAACTTGTGCTTCTACACATGGCGTAACCCCATTCCTCAAATTTAACTAATTTTGTTTTAGATAGAAAATACTGGACATGAATGAGCAATTCTTTTGTCTCTATACTATGGTGTGATTAAGGTTACTCAAATGGGATGATTTTGATATGGATGTGATGCTTAGAAAACACACAGACACACCCCAAAAATGGCGACAGTGGAGCGTGATGGACAGTCCCCAAGGACTGTAGGTCTATAATCACAGCATTTCTCCAGGTTCTGGTGAGGTTTGCTGGTAGCGCTGAGAGAAGGAAGTCATCCTTCATGAACTGAGACTGACTTGCACCAAATCTATCCAGATGAGTGATGGAGTTCACACTTAAATTGTTTAGGGATGAAATATTGTTTTCCAACTGGTGCAAAAATTATTCTGCGTGCTTGCAAGCACCAACACAGTGTTTACAAGGCTTCTGAGTCATTTTAGTGTTTACTCGGGATGGTGGTGACTAAAACACACAGTGACACGGTGCCATGCTAGTAATTTTGAGAAGATGGTACCCACTGTCATTTTCTATTATCTAGTTTGCATGAGAACTTTATTATGATGTGCATATTGCAAAATGACACATGTGCATCTGAGTACACATCCCATAGCTTTTACAGTGATGTGTGAAGGTAAGCAAAGTTTTTAACGTCATTTACCAGATGAGGAGAAAAACGTTTCTGAGCTCCTTTAGTATAATACAGATGTCAGCCATAAACCCACAAGTGTATTCCAAGAACATTGTATGATGAAAAACAAGGAAAACAGAAGAATGACTTCACATTGCAAGGGGAAAGGGAATTTCGTCACTTAAAAAATCTGATATAGCTCACCATTGCCAGGACATCACAAATTACTACCTAGAATATCAGCATTAAAAACCTTTTAAGTGTTGAGTTTTTCACAGACCAAAGTTGCATAAAAATGTTCTTCTCCGACCATAACTATTGAAAGGTTGTTGCTGAACCACAAAAAGATGCCGAGATTCTTGGCCTATGGAGGAGAAGAATTCAATCTGGGGCCAGAGACAAGGCTTGATCACTCAGAGCTTTTGTGTAATTAAGTTTTATTAAAGTAAGAAAGAGACAGAGAAAGCATCTGACATAGACATCAGAAGGGGCAGAAAGAGTGCCCCTTGCTAGTGTTAGCCATGGAGTTATATACTTTTAATTAGTTATTACAATGAATCAAAAGAATGTCTCAAGTTTGTGAAAATTTTATCAGACCCACTCCCACAATTTACATTTTAGGATGACAAGATTAGAATTTAACAATAGAAAGATCATACCAGACCCACTCCCATAATACATTCTAAGATATCAGGATTAGTCAGAAGGTTTTCATGAAGGAGAAACTGTCCTTCCAGCCCTCCAGCTGGATACATTGTTGTTTTATAATCCCTAGTACAGTTTAAACTGAGTTGTGTAATTGACTAAGACTAAGGAATATAGAGGGAAAAAAAGTTTATCCTTTTCTCCTCCTTGAGAATTCCAGATCCCTATCTCCACTCCCAAAGCCCCAGACCCCTTTCTCCTCCTTGGGGACCCTGGACTTCTTATCAGTCTGCCTAGGAATTGACTCTCTCACCATCCTGAGTCTTCCATGTTAATATTATCTCTAATATGTTTATGTAACAAAATTGTTTGAAGTGTGTGGATACAATACTTTTTTGATTGATGATTCAGGATGAACAATGTGGGCTGTAAGGAAGATACATGATTTATCTGCATGAGATTTTCAGAAGATATTAATACTTTAGGTGTTAAAGAGGAGAAAATATCCCATCTCTAAATTAAATCTTTATTTTTCTTCAAGAATAAGCTCTCTAAAAAGCCTTAGGCTATAATCAAAATATTCAGGTTTTAAAGTGACAGATATTTTGTTGGCTGATTATCAGATTTGTGCTGCTTACATGAAGAAAAATACTTGGCACAAAAATTCAGTTCCACCAGAACTTTTCCATACTTGCTAATTGGATTAAAAATTATCAAAGACATGAATTAAGAGTTCAGTTCAGTTTCAGTCGCTCAGTCACGTCTGACTATTTGCAACCCCATGGACTGCAGCACGCCAGACTTCCCTGTCCATCACCAACTCCCGGAGTTTACTCAAACTCATGTCTATTGAGTCAGTGATGCCATCCAACCATCTCATCCTCTGTCGTCCCCTTCTCCTCCCACCTTCAGTCTTCCCCAGCATCAGGGTCTTTTCCAAGGAGTCAATTCTTCCCATCAGGTGGCCACAGTATTGGAGTTTCAGCTTCAGCATCAGTCCTTCCAATGAATATTCAGGACTGATTTCCTTTAGGATGGACTGGTTGGATCTCCTTATTGTCCAAGGGACTCTCTTAAGAGTAATTAAATTAAATCATATAGAAATACTTCTGTTAAATACATGTCTGTAAATATATATTTTCTGTATTAATAGGAAGCAAAATATGGATTTTTGGCCCTGTTGTTGCATTTTCAATGATTAGTTCAGATTGAATAATTTTACTGTTGATAAATTAAAAGCAGAGTGTCGTATCTCTCATTTTAACACTGAAATCATAAATTGCATATTCAGTAGTTTTGCATTGACCCTTAAAAATACCCTGTAACATTGTGAAAATACATAGAGAAGATTTCAGTTATAGGCAAGCCTCTTTCAGAATTCTTCAGTGGAAATTGTTACTGAAAAACCAAAAGAGCCTCTTAAATTTTGCAAATTCCAAAGAAGGCATCATAAGGATATCTAACTGAATTCCCAGAAGTTACTTTTTTTTTTACCTTCTAAGTGTATTGCCAGACACTAGCAATAGGTCTCTCTGGCTGTGTGTGGTCACACAACCCTAGCATTAACCACCATCCAGGAGAACAAGGCACCTTTCCATGTCCTAGTGTCTCCTGTGAACAAACATTTCATAAAAACACACCAGAGCAAATGCACTTAAGAGCTACCTGTAAAATATTGGGTAATGACTCACATCTATCACTCTACTTGATAATCTGATAGGAGGTTTATATCTACTGCTTTTTTTAACTTTAAAACATTTCCTTCAAACAATTCAAAATAGTTTGTATGTACTCTTTGTTTTTTTATTTCTTTAAAATTTATAGTGTTCTTGCTATGTGCCAGCACCTATGCTAGATGTTTATTTTTTATTTTTAAATTAATTTATTTGATGGGGTCCTATGGCTTATAAGGTCTTACTTACCCAACCAGCCATCAAACCTGGACCCTTAGCAGTGAAAGCAGAGTCCTAACCACTGGACAATCAGGGAATTCCCTGGATGTCTTCTTTCTTAAAAGTGTTTAGTAAGAAAGACATTAGCAGTTTCCTAGAGCTGGGGTGGGGGTTGGTAGAAAATAAGGGGTGACTATCAGTGGGTATTCGGTTTCTTTGGGGGGTGATGAAAAGATTTTCAAATTGGATTCTAGGGTGGTTACTAAAAGCCTTTATACACCTTACATGGGTGACCTTTTAAAACATGTAAATCCCATCCCAATAAAGCTGTTTTAAAAGATAAACAAAAAAAGTATATGAGCAAATTAAGGAATATTTCCGTCAATTTAGAGAGAGGCTGGATACAAATAAACATATTTCTGTTTCTGTGTATTTTGGTACATGCTAACATAATTTGGTTGTCTTTAGTCTTCCAATATAATTCAAAAGGCTTTCCCCGTGTTTATTTCTGCAGTCTTCTCTGAAGCAGGTGGGTGTGCACAGGGGAGGAAGGGAGCTTTGCAGGTTAAGAAGGAGAAAAGAAATAAAATTCTGTAAAATAGTGGCATTTTAAATGTTAAGGGGTGGGGGGGCTCTTCATTCATTTTTAAAGCAGTGCTGCTTTCAATGGGTCAAATTTTTCTAAACTATTCCAAGTCAAGAAAGGAAGGAGAAAGGATCATTCTGGTATGATCTCAACTTAATTATGTTTCACTTTTCTAAAAAATAAATCAAATTTTTTATTTGCCTAGTAGTTTGTTGTGACTCCACACTGAGATCTTAATGTTTAAATTTCATAACATGTATATTCTTGAAGTACAGTTTCTTCTTCTGAAGCCCCTTTCTCTTTTAAATTGCCTTAACAGATGTCTCTGACAAAAGAGAAAGTGCAAAGAGGGAATGAGAATTTTTAAAAAATTAAACCATCTGATCACAACACATGACTTTCAGAAACAAACCTACATCTTAAAAGCTGATGTGTCATACCTCATAAGATAAGGATAAGGATCTAATAGAAAATAGCAAGGATATAATAGAAAATAGAAAATATAGGTGTTTCCTTCATTTACCCATCATTTTGTTACATCTTAAGTGTTTTCTGTTAATTTCTATTGGAGTAGAGCTGCTTTGCAATGTTGTGTTCGTTTCTGATGTTCAACAAGGTGAATCAGCTGTATGTTTACACGTATCCCCTTTTTTTTGGATTCCCTTCCCATTTAGGTTGCCACAGAACACGGGGGAAGAGTCCCCTGTGCTTTCTTGATTAGGATTCATTTGCATTAAGCACAGAACGACATACCCACTGTTTACTATTCTCTGCATTGCTATGGAAATCCTAACTACACCAGAGCTTTGAAATAGTTCCGGTTGCTAGGAAACCGCTTCCCTGGTGCTGCACATTCTTCTCATGGCTGCTGTCTCTGGCTGTGTCTGGATC